CGGGCCGGGTCCGGGCCGGGTCCGGGCCGGGTCCGGGTCCGGGCCGGGCCCGGGCCGGGTCGGGGCCACCGTGAGACTCCAAGGTCGATCTATAGTGCGGGGTCGAACTATAATGCGGGGGTTATACTTTTCTGCGGGTCGATCTATAGTTCGGGCGCGCCGAAAATAATTCGACCCGCCGTTTTGGGGCAAACGGGGCTTCAGCGCCCATGCTCGCGCTCGCCCCACTGGGAGGGGTCCAACATATATTTGAGCCGACAGCAATGAATGACAACGATACACACAGAAGCGTTCTTTTCAAAGCATGCGCACAATCGGCTGGCCGCAGAACTTAGAGATGCATGCCACCGAAAACGCTCTCATGGACCTCCTTTGGCCCCTCCTTCGGCCAAATGCAGCTACAGATCCACCGAAATCCTCATCCCTATAGTTCCAGTGCTTCGCTGGTTCACCGCCGCCCATGCACAGCTCCAGAAACATGTGCATTTTAGGCTTCACTTTAAAATGGGCAGGAAGCGCGTCTTGCAAAGCGGCCGTCTGCGTGGCAAACTTACTCGAATGCTCTCTAAGAATGTCCACAGCAAATGGGTGATTGTCAGAGAGTGCCTCGTAACACCGACATAAGCTTTTCATCCCTGCGTGAATGGACGATTCTACAGCTGCCCGCTCGTCGACGCCATTCCTCCTATCAAGGAAAGCCTCCGCCATCTCCAATGCCCATGGAACCATGTGCCTGAGCATCCCCGCGCCGCACCTCATCTTAGCCGTCGTTGCTTTTTTTCCTTTCACAACGCCCCGCGTCAGTCTCGATAGGCGGCTGGTCTTCTCACCTGGCGGCTGCCTGTCGTAGAACGCCATCAAATGACCATGTAGTGTGGAGACGCGGCCTTTCTGGGTAGTTCCAGCCACCTTTTTGTGCGTTACAAGATACCATAGCAAGCCCCCTATGAAGTCAGCCGCTACTCCAAGATCAACAACGTGTAACCAATCTAGCTTCAGCAACTTTTCGTTCGCATACGGCACTTGGAAGAGAGGGCGCACCTGCTCGCCTGAAACGATAATCTTCGCAAGGACTTCTGGCCATGTGCGTCGGTGCGTTCTCCACGGCGCGTCTCTCCCAGTCTGCGATTTCACCTGCGGGGAGTAGCCAAAAACACTCCTCCTCCTCCTCCTCCCCCTCCACCCCTCCTCCCCCTCCTCCTCCACCCCCCCTGGAAGGGGCCGCAAATCGACGACGACGCACCCCCTCCCAGAGGGGATTTCCTTCCTCCCCTGATGTGTTGCGCCCCCATGGCCTCGTCCTTCTTGATGTTGCACAGGAAGCATACTTCGTCATCTTGCCAGCCAGGTAGCTTGAGCACCTCCTTCATCATCTTCCAGTCCCCTTTGATCTGGCAAAGCACTCCGCCAATTGGTAGGGTTGCGTCGGCCACTTGTCGGCGCTTCCTCCAGGCGCCCTGCGCGCCGAAGGGAGAGCCGTCGTGCCGTGCCGCCGGCCAGCGCTTCGCAGCCAAGTGAACAAAGCTCCACTGCACCACTGCAAAAACACCATCAAATGTGTTGGGGCCCACGTGCTCTTTGAGGAACGCTGTGATTGGGACCCGCAGGTTTTTCCAGCGCCCCGCAGCCCCTGGCAACATGAGGCTGATGATCTCTGCGCTCATCGATCGGTCCCAAAAGCAAGGGACCCCGTCCTGCCACACGCCCAGGGCCACCAGGTCGTTGCAACCACTCTCCGCCCTGGCTCTTTGCACGTGGCGCAGAGACACGCCGTCGAGACTCGACGTCTCCAGTAGCACGCTCCGCTCGCCAAAATGATGAAGTTGATGAAGTATTTCGTGAGGAAGCATCATCGCTAAGTCCATCAGTTGTTCTGTTTCAGACTTGGGGTCCCAGCCCCTCACCTGGCAGTGATAGAGCGGAGGCCACCCTTTCCTGAAGAAATCCCGCCTGAACTTCCTGGCAGCGTTTTTCATGCCCGACGTTGACTCCGTAGTGTGCAGGTCGGAGAGACCTGTCGCAGATGCAGAGACGCAGTCATTGATCAGCTGAGCGCCGCGCTGCCCGCTGACCACGTTGCTGCTTATCAGGTCCTGCGCGTTCGCTCTCAGCCGCCTCTCCGGCGGCAAGCCCAACCTGTCATAAGGCAACCGCCGCCTGGAAAGCATCCCGCGGGGCCCGCGGGAGACAGGCGCGAGCGCGGCGGCCTTGAGCCACTGCAGTGGCTACGGACATGCGCGGCTGAGGCAAGGGGCCCTTGCCCTTTCCCGCGCCCCTCCTCCGCGCCCTCCTTCAATCCCTTTCATGCCCCTCCCCTCCTGCTACTCCCCTCCTGATGATACCAAGCCCCCCTCCCCCCCGCCCCCCCCTCCCCCCACGCCCCTGCGATGAGGGGGGCTTCTTTACTGGCAAACCCAGAAACACGCGGCCCCTCACGAAGGGGCACCCCTGGCAGAGGAAGCGGCAAGTTCTCGTTTTCCCACGGGCGTCGGAAAGGCAGCGCTGCATGCGCGTCGTCGGGCGAGGCAGAGCATCTCAAACCCTACTGCATATATGCATGTAAATACTGATATGTAGATGTAGATGTAGGGCCGCAGCTCAATTGAGGAACTTCTTGAAGCGCTTGACCGAGAGCTGAATGCCCTCGTACATGTGCTCGTGTGTGTTGTAGGCGGCCTGGACCTCATTCTTCAGCTTATCGTACATGTCCGTGTCCTTGCCGACAGAATCAGCGCCCTCAATTTTCGCAATCAGAACCTCCATCGCCGTCTCGTGCTGGTCCGCATTGTCCACGCACTTCTTGCACTCATCGGCCCAGTTCTGGAAGCTCTGACGGTCCTTCTGATCCTGATCCCCAGCCTTCGCGAGCAACTGATTCTTCGTGTGCTTTAGGAACTTAGCTCCTTCTGATACTTGACCAGCATTTGCCTTGGTAGGGATCATAAACAAGCAATGCGCCGACATGCTTTTCAACGCAAACAACGCACGACATAACGGATACGAACCAGTTTCTATCGCCATCCCCTCCAGGAGGGGCGGCGGGGGCGCGGCGGGGGAGAGGGCCCCCCTCTGGGGGGGGTCTGGCAGAGCACCAGAGATGGAAGGGCAGGGGGCGGCTGCCGAGGACGGCGCGCGATCTCGTCCTTCTTACTCACGATCTCTGGCCAGTGCGGATTCTCGATCTTCACCTCGCCGCCCCCACCCGACCCCGAAGCGCTGGATGACGGGAGCTCGGCCATCCTGATGCCTGCAGCTTCGAGTTGCTTCAGGTTCTCCAGGTTGGACGTCCCCTTGAAGGTGCGCGAGTCCTTCGTCACCAGCTGGTCATCGTCCATGTTGCGCTCGACGAAGTACCACTCCTTCCACAGAGGCCTGTCCTTGACATCTTCCTTGATGGGGAATTCTTCTTTGGTGCCATGCTCTTCGCTGTTCTCCTCCCACCATTCCTGCACGAAGGCAGTGGCTTCCTGGATGTTCGCAAAGTCTTTGATGGTGAGGTTCTTGAGGGCCAGTGCCTGCGATACATTCCGGTACCCTTTCTTGGCAGAGCGCGTGTGCACCTCTTCATTCGTGCATCTCTCTTCGAAGGTGGCCAACCAGTCAAGTGTCTTATCCTTGTCACTCGCGAAGGTCTGCAAGAAACGCTTCCGATCGGCTGGGTCCTTCATCCCGTTCCAAAGCGCCTGGGCTGCTCTGGCGGATTCTGCTGTGCTCGTAGGTTTCCCGCTGCCGCCCTTCTTCTCCGACTGGTACTTGAGCCACGCCCTCATCTTGTCGGCCTCCTGCTTGTCGAGCCCGTGCCCCTTCGGGGCCGCCTTCGACTTCTTCGCCGCTGGTGCGCCCTGGCCCTCGATCTTCTTCTTCGGCGCCATGCTGCACAACGGTGTGAGGAGAGTGCCCAGCAGGAGCAGAGGAGGGACTACTCCTGGGGCGGGCATGGCTGCCGCGGGACTGACCCCTGAAATTTGGGATACAGCAGCAAAATCGAAATGCCCTGCGGCAGCCGAAACGCCTGCGAATGGCAAGTAGATCGTCGGGGGCCTTCCCCGCGCACTTCAGTGGTGCGTGTGGGTGTGGTGTGGTGCTGTGGGTGTGGCGTGCGTGGTGGTACATTTCAGTATCGTCGAGCCTTCCCCTCAGCCAGGGGTTCGTTTCTCTCCCCTCGAAGGGGCTCGCAACCCACGCGGTCGCCTCCTCCCCCTCGAAGAGAAGGGGTGCTACCTCATCAGCGGTGAGGCGGGGAGGGGGAGGGGATGTGCCAGGGCCCCCCCCCCTCAGTAAGGGGTGCGCGCCCCCTCAAAAAGGGGCACCCCCCTCTCTGGATTGCTTTGCGCGGCAGGCAAGCACAGGGGCCCGAACGACTCACCCATGATGCAATGCTACTGCTCCCCCCTGCTGCCCCTGCTCACACTGCCCCCCCTCATTAAAGGGGCTCACCCTCAGTAAAGGACGGCGGTGCCCCTCCGCAAGGGGCCCGTCAAAGATGTTTCAGGGGCCCCCCTCAATCAGGAACACCGCGCCCCCCAACCCCCCTAGGGGGCCCGTCAGATACGGCCCAGCCCCGCCCCCTCCCCCCCCACCCTCAGCCAGGGGCGTTTCGCCCCTCAGCGGGACTCGTCTGGCCCCCATGCAGCGAGGGGGGGTGCACTGCAAGCGACCTTGAGAGGGATTCTCTTAAGAGAATTCTCTGACGAGAATTCTCTTAAGAGAATTGTTGGTTTTGCCTGAGACATCCACACAATTCTCTTAAGAGAATTCTCTTAAGAGAATTCTCTTAAGGGAATTCTCTTAAGAGAATTCTCCAAAGAGAATTTCCCCTTAAGATAATCGGTTTCGTGATCGCCCGCCCCCTCTGCCAGGGGCAGCCGCGCGCGCCCCTGCAATGAAGGGGCCACAGTCAATCAGAGCCCCCTTAACCCGTACCGCCTCTATTCTGGCGCGAGAGGCCGCGCAAATGTATATGGATGTCGGCGCCGTCGCCGACGCGGTCGCCCCGCGGCTCAGGGCGCGCCGTCCTGGGGCGGATGGGGGTGCAGGAGGAAGATTGACAAGGAGGAAGAGCAGAAGCAAGAGGGATATGGACAAGGAGGAGGGCGGGCGACAAGCAGGAGCAGGAGGAAGAGTGACCAGGAGGATGGAGAAGCGGTCCTAGCCCCTCTTAGAGGTCGCCTTCGGGCGCTTGCCCTTGTCCTTCTCAGTGTCCTTGTCCTTGTCTTTGTCGCCCCTCCCTCCTTTCGAGGGTCTGCCCCCCGCCTGGTCCGCGCGGGGCCTTTTTTTTGCTTTGGGGTCCTTCTTTTTGTTGTCTGCGTTCTCCGCGTCCGCCCTGGCTGCGTCCGCCGTTGCTGCGCCCGTCTCTGGCTGCTCTGGTGTTGCCGCTTCTGGCGCTGCCGTCTCTGCCGCCTGCCGCTCCTCTGCCTCTCGTTTCTGTTTCTGCTCCGCTTCCTCCTTGGCCCGCGCTGCGTCCTCCGCATCCCTGGCAGCCTTGGCCGCCTCTTCCGCCCTCCGTGCGGCCGCTTCGGCAGCCAGCAGCCTCGTCCTCGCCTGCGCTTCGGCGGCCTCTGCTGCCCTCTGCAGCTCCAGGCGGGCCTCTGCCTCCCGCCTCAGCGCGGCGTCCCTCTGCTGTTGTTGCGCCCGCCTCAGGCGGATGATCTCCTGCTCTGCCCTGCGCTCCTGCTCCTGCCGAAGGCGCTCTTTGTGCCTTTCGACGCACCTCTGCGCCGCCTCCGTGCGATTCAATGCCCGCAAGAGCCTCCGATGCTGCCTTGCGTGCTCTTCCTCTAGCCTCATCAGCTCATCAGGCTCCTCTGACTCCGCTTCCTCCTCCATGCCCTCTTCCTCCTCGCCCTCATCCTCCTCTTCTTCCTCCCCCTCTCGGGCTCCGTCGTCGGATCCGTCAACCTGCATTGCTTCGGCAGGTGCTGCCGCTGCTGCTGCTGCTGCTGCGGGCGGTGCTGCTGCTGCTGCTGCTGCTGCGGGGTGTCCAGCCGCTGCTGCTGCTAACAGTGCTGCGGGTGGCGGGCCGATCGGCGGCGTTGGCCCCCCCTGCGGGGGCGGCGGCTGCGCTGCTGTTTCGTTCTGCTGCTCCTGTCGGGGAACGACGAAGTAAGCTCACCCCCATGAGAGGGGCCTCTTCTTGCGTTTATTCGGTCCCCCCTCGTTTATCCCCTCAAACAGGGGCCCTCCCTTCTTGGCAGCGCGGGGCAGAGGGGGGGGGTGCGGTCCTGCAGCAGGCCGACCAAGACCGCCTCCCTGGTATCGCACCTCCGCTGCCAGTGCCTGGCAGGCGCAGAAAACTGACCAGGATAAACATTGAGAAAATCAAAACATCAAACCGACATAACTTCATTCCTCAATGTTTGAGGGTTCCCCCCTCCCCACCACTTGCACCCTTGCGTTGCCTGGCTCTGGCGACCTCGCTCTTGCCGCCCCTCCACCTCCTCCCGTTGCGGTCGCGGTCGCCGTGCTCGTGGAACCACTGGGTCGCGTGGTGTTCCTGGCACGTCTTGCCAACGCACACCGAGAAGAAGGTGTGTTTGCCGCACTGCCAACACTTCTTGCAGTTCATCTTGCGAAGCCACAAGCGGTGGGACGAGCGGGTGTACCGCTTCCTGTGGTCCTGGAAGTCCAGCATGAATTCCTCCTCCGCCTCGCTGTCGTCGTCGTCGACCTCAAAGACAGGCGCGTGCCCGTCCTGCAGGGTGTCTCTGTAAATCAATCCCTTCAGGAAGGGTCACGGGTCTCTGTGAACGAATCCCCTCAGGAAGGGGAGGTTCTATCGATAAATCCCCTCTGGCAGGGGTCTCTGCAAACGGATCCCCTTCTCTGTAAACGGATCCCCTCAGGAAGGGGCGCCTTGACCACGTGCACCCCCAGCTCCTCGTGAGGCCGCTTGCCGCCGCCACCGCCTTCTGGAGGCAGCCCGCCGCCGCAGCCGCCCGACATCATCATGCCGGAAGCCTGGGGTCCAGAACGGTTGCGGCCGAAAGTTTTTAGTCAGACTCAAAAGGCTAAAATCTGGGGGCCTCGTGGGAGGCCCTTCGGGGGGGTGAATGTAATGGAATTTCATAGGAATTCGTCCAATTTTAGACCCCCTTTTTTTGCTAAAAAAGGTGGGTCTAAAACTCGGCTGCTGGATTGATTTTTTATCGCCCAGATGGCCAAACAAGTGGCCGTCACTCTTACTTTTCTCCTCATCCTGCCCCAACTCCCCCCTTGCATTCTGCTTCCGCGCGGCCTGGAGCGCCGAGAGGCACACGATGAGCGCCCGCATGGCCGCGAGCTCGGGGCGGGGGGCTGGCCCCCAAGCGCGCTGGGCGTCAGCTCTGTCGAACGGTTGCGGATGAAGAACATGAAAGCAAATGGGGGAGGGATGGAACGAGGAGGAAACGCAATGCCACACACATAATGAGTAAGCAGACTGCCGCACCTTTGATCCCCTCCCCGAGGGGTCCCCTCTCGGAGGGGGCCGTTGCCCTGTCTTATCGCGAGTGTGCTGAAGCCCCTCTTAAGGGGTTCCCCTCTTAAGGGGTTCCATCACTCGCCAATCCATCGCGCGGTCCCCTCACGGAGGGGCGCCCCTGCGATGAGGGGGTGTCGTCTAGCACTGGAGAGGGCGCTCTGCCAACGGGCATGGCGATGGCAATGGCGATGAAGACGGTAAGGATGATGATGATGATGGATGCGATGATGAGGATGGATGCGATTAGTCGCCCAAGCGCTGTGCCACTAAGCGCTCAGCCTCCGCCTTAGCAGCTTCCTTGGTGTCAGCCACGGTGCCGTCGACCAAGGCCTTCTTCAGCTCTGCGCCGATCTCCCTGAGCGTGGCCTCGTCCAAGGTGTCCTTGTACTTTTTCCCGCCGAAACTCACAAACTGGTTCTTCTCACCGTGCGTCCGCTTCAACCCGATAGAGTGGTCCCTCTTGTAGTACATCACGCTGTACCCGCGGTCGGCGCGGCCAGCGGGGGGCCCAGCGCCGACCGAGGGCTCATCTGCAGCATCCACGGGCTCATCGGGTTCCAGCTGCTCTTCCTCCTCCCCCTCATCGTCCTGGTCCGTCTCCGTGTTCGCGGCGGCTGCACTGGGCTTTCTCATTGCAGGCTTCTTTGCCACTACATGTCCTGCTGGCTTCCCTTTTTTGCACGCTTTCGCCTTCGCCTGCGCGGCTGCCGCTCTTGCTGCCAGGAGGGCGTTGGGCTGCTCCGTCTTCTCCGTCCTGCCGTCGGGAAACACGGCATCCAAGAAACCATCGCCTCCTTTCGTCAGTGTTCCCCGCTCCTCCCTGTCTGCGAACTTCATCACCATGCACATCGGCTCGGAGTTGAAATCGAAATACGTGGCCAGGGGATCCTGGGGCGGGTCTCTCACTTGCCCCTCCCGAGCTCCCCTCCCGAAGGGGTTCGGTTACGCCGTGAAAAATCAAAACTGCTCCCCCCCCCCCCCCACCCTGCCCGCCCCCTCCGATCCTCCTTCGGGGCCGCGGCGGGCGGGTCAGCGAGCTCGACGTCCTCCTGCGACGAGAACACCACCATCGGGCTCCACGTGGCAACCTTCTGTTTCTTCCCTGCCGGTTTCGGAGGCGGGCTGATGCCGAAGGCGTTCTTGATGACATTGCGCCTGCTGCCCCCATCTGCGCTGGACGACGCGGCGGCCGTGGAAGATTTTGGAGGGTTCATCTCTATGTCGGAGCTGCTGTCGGCGCGTTTTTTGCTCTCTCCTGTGCTTGGGCTTGCCCTGCCAGGCTGCAGCCCCATTGCCACCCCAAGCATTTTTGTGTGCGCCTCCAGCTTCCCCCCCGTCTTGGCGATGTAGAACTTGTTGCAAACATGGCTGAAAGCGTTGGCCACCTCCTGGCAGAAACGCCTACACTCTTCCTGGTGCATGTTCGGCTTCTGCTTCAACACGACGTCCTGGAGGTTCTTCCATTTGACGCGTGTGGTGAGCTGCGCAAGCGGCAAGAGAAACGGCATGTTGTTCTTCATGAAGTCATCTATGCCCCCTTGCAGTTGGCATTTTTCGATGAGATCAATGTGCTGTTTCACGAGCGGCTTCAACTGTTCCTCTGTCACAGAAGAAGCCCGTATCTTCACCTCCGTCTTGCCCTTGACCATTGCCCACCCCCAGTGCGCGCAAGCAAGAGTAGCGCTATGTGCCCTCGAGCCTTCGCAGCTGCGGGATGTTGTAACATGCGCGCAATGTGATGCAGCCGATACCCCTCGCTCAGGGGACGCATGCCCCCTCACTCAGGGGATCCTTAACAATGCGCGAGCGAAGAAAAGTACGACCTGGCCAAAAATCATGGGTTGGACTATAGTGCGACCCAAAGAAAGTGCCAGGTCGATCTATAGTTCGACCCCGCACTATAGATCGACCTTGGAGTCTCAAGGCAGGTCCCGGCCGGGTCCGGGCCGGGTTCGGGCCGTGTCTGGTCCGGGCCGGGTCCGGGCCGGGTCCGTGCCGGGTCTGGGCCGGGTCCGGGCCGGGTCCGGGCCGGGTCCGGGCGGGGTGGATCGGAATCGGAGCCGGGTCTGGGCCGGGTCCAGGCCGGGTTCGGGCCGGGTTCGGGTCCGGGCCGGGTCCGGGCCGGGTCCGGGCCGGGCCGGGTCGGGTTCGGGTTCGGGCCGGGTCCGGGGGCGGGGGTCCGGGTCGGGTCCGGGTCCGGGCCGGGTCCGGGCCGGGTCCGGGCCGGGGGTTCCGGGCCGGGTCCGGGCCGGGTCCGGGCAGGGGCCGGGCCGGGTTCGGGTCCGGGTTCGGGTCCGGGCCGGGTCCGGGCCGGGCCGGGTCGGGTTCGGGTCCGGGCCGGGTCCGGGCCAGGTCCGGGCCGGGTCCGGGTCGGGGCCGGGCCGGGTCCGGCTCCGGGCCGGGTCCTGGCCAAGTCCGGGCCGGGTCCGGGCCGGGTCCGGGTCGGGTCGGGCCGGGTCCGGGTCCGGGTCCGGGCCGGGTCCCCGGGTCCGGGCCGGGGTCCGGGCCGGGTCCGGGTCCGGGCCGGGTCCGGGCCGGGTCGGGGCCAGGTCCCGGGTCCGGGCCGGGTCCGGGCCGGTCTGGTCCGGGCCGGGCCGGGTCCGGCCGGGTCCGGGCCGGTCCCGGGTCCGGGCCGGGTCCGGGCCGGGTCCGGGCCGGGTCCGGGCCGGGTCCGGGTCCGGGCCGGGTCCGGGCCGGGTCGGGGCCAGGTCCCGGCCGGGTCCGGGCCGGGTTCGGGCCGGGTTCGGGTCCGGGCCGGGTCTGGGCCGGGTCCGGGCCGGGTCCGGGTCGGGGCCGGTCCGGGTCCGGGCCGGGTCCGGGCTAAGTCCGGGCCGGGTCCGGGCCGGGTCTGGGCCGGGTCGGGGTCCGGGCCGGGTCCGGGCCGGCTCCGGGCCGGGTCCAGGTCCGGGCCGAGCCTGGGCACTGGGTCCGGGCCGGGTCTGGGCCGTCATGATGTCGCTCAAAAGCCCCCAAAATTCCCGAAGAAACACCCTGGAAGCTTCAAAACTGTTCCCGCGAGGCCCCCCCTCGGAAAACTCAAGAGACCCACATCCCAAACATGGTGGCGGGATGGGCCGAAGGCCACAGAATCCGCCGCCCCTTGTTCATTCATCACAGCGGTGCGTGCATAAAGCGGATGATAATTCATGATTTTGGCCTCTCCGGGCCTCCCCGGAGTACCTTTTGAAGGCTTCTTGGGCCGTCTTGGAGGCCTTTTGGAAGCCTTTTGGGCCGTCTTCGGACATCTTGAGGCCCTCTTGGGCCGACGTGGTGGTTGTTTAGCTGACTTGGAGGAATCCTGCACCCTCCCGGGCCATCTGGAAAGCCATCTTGGACCATCTATAGGCCCGAAAACCGACCCGTATGTTGAGGGCGGTTTTTCGAGAGGCCAGCGCGCTCGGCGAAGCCCCAAGGGGATTTTCCTTTGGAGCAGGACCAAAACCACGGCTTCAGACGTATAGCACGCCAGGATGTTGGCATTTACTTCTATCGGCTTTCCGACGGCCCAAAACGGCGCAACCGTCCCCCCAAATCGTTTCAAAATCGGCCAAGAGGCCTCCAAGATAGCCCCAGAACGGCCCAAGAGGCCCAAGAGGCCCCTTGAGAGCTCCAAGACGGCCCAAGAGGTTTCCACGACGCTCGAATTGGGCCTCCGAGACGGCCCTGAAGTCGAAAACAAGCTGGTAAGCTTAGGTGTGTGTTACGCTTTAAGCGTTGCCATATCCCAGGCTTTGGCTCATATCGCATGAGCAAGAGAGCAAGACGAAGCATGGGATCTGGAGTAAAGGATAGGATGGGCATCGTCAATGGAAAAGGT